AAGCCCTGGGAAGCCAGTCCCCGAAGCAGCCAGCCCTGAGAGCCTGGCCCGAGGTGCAGGATCCCGGCCCGGCTGCAGTTCTGCCGACTCAGAGGCACCATCTGCCGGGAAAGCTCCCTGCTCAGCCTGGTGGCTCCAACATGGATGGATGTGCCAGCAGAGCATGAAGGAAACGTGTTCCCCCAGTAAAGCCCAGCTCCTTCCCTGCAGAGCAGCAGCTGCAGGGGCTGGGGCACATGGGTGCAGAGGGAAGGAGAGTGGACAAACACGGCTCGAAGTCTCCAGCATCCATAAATACCCCCTGACAGAGGGACTTGGCTGCCCTGCCAGCGCTCAGGTCCTTTTTAAGCTGCTTTTGCAACATCTGCTAAGCCCCTGCTTGCAGTCAAACAGGACGTGCTTTGAGGACAAGCAGGTTTTTTTGCTGGGGTAGGGGAAACTGTGGTAATTTTTACAGCCCTTTTGGGTGTTTCTGCTCAGTGGGGAGAGTGCGGGGATGTGAGGAAGCTGCAGGGGGGTCTACAGGAGGGGGATGTCCTGGTGCCCCCTTCTCCCCACACAGTGGAGCGCAGATCCTGCACACTCCCAGGGTCTGCAGGCTCTTTTCCTGGGAGGCCCAGGGACTTGCTGGGGAGGCATGATCCCAAACTCAGCTCTTCCAAATGCACAGCATGGGCACCTGCGGCCTCAGCCATGGCAAGATGAAGAGCCAGCAAACCAGATGGAGGTCCAGAGCTCCTGGGCACGGGCTGTCCCTGTCACCTGGGGCTTTCACAGCTCCGAGGTGTGCAGCATCCATTAGCGGTGACCTCCTTGTCACTGTGATCGACAGGAGCACGCCTTGGGTGATTGTGGTGGTGCAGAAGATGCCCCAAACTCACCGAGTCGTAATATGACCATGTGTCTGGGCTGCAGCTCTCCTGCTCCTCTGACCCCAGTCCTGGCTCTCAGCCCTTTTTTGGGGGTATGACACACCTTTCCTACAAGGTGTAATTGCAAATGACTCACCCAGGATGCTTCAGAGGGAAGTGGCAGACCTGCTACCTCTCTTCCGTAGGGGAAGTGCCTGAATTCCCACTCCCCCTATAGCCCCACGTACTGGGCAGGGGGACTGGATATCTGAAGATGTAAAACTAATTAATCGCATCCAATCCGTTCCCAGACCAGGCTGCGGGCTGAGACAACTCACACTGTCACGCGGAGCAGGGACATTTGCCAGATACTGATGTGTCAGGCAAAGAGTATGTGGGGCTCTGCAGCTGCCAGCCAAGTCCTGGAGTTCACAGCCTAAAGGACTATTAATACCCGTCAGCCTGGGCAGCCTGGAGTGGGACCAGATCGGATGGAAAACACAGACCTTGGGCAAGGCTTGACAATATGATGGGGATGGGAGAGCAGCTGGGAGCCAGATAATTTTGTCAAGTAGCCAAAAACCTGCCTGAGTGAAGTCCTTTGCATAAGAAGACACTGGCTGCATTGGCTCCTTCCTAACTCCATGATTTACATCTCTTGTAGAAGATGTAGCCAGCACCCTGCATTACACGTGTGCTTGCTCCCCAGCAGTGACTGTCTTGGCCTGAGGCTTCAGCAATCACCCCATCTGAAAGTGGATTGCAGATCTGAAAAATCATCCCTTCTCCGTTTCTGGCTACATCCCAAAAGACTTCTCCCCGCACCCCCACAACCCTTGTGAAATTCAGGGTGGTTTATAGTGAGCTTCAGGGACAGTGGACCCGTCTCTCCTGCGTGCCAAGCTGCCGGGCTGAGCTCTCTGGTATCTCCTGGAGTTGTTCTGGCAGCAGGTTTTGTGTTTTGGTCATGTATACATCTCTTTTGGGGACCTTCTCTTATTTTGACCCAGAGTAGCATGTCTAAGAGCTAAAGGGGTAAAGACAGTTGGGGATTAGTAAGCATCCTTAGGAAGAGCAAGATTCCTTGTCGTGTTCTCACATGGACATCCCTTGTCTGTGTTTTAAATATTCAGAATGAAATTTTATATGCTTGTCATCTGTGTCATTTTATGGTTAAAATGATCAAAACCATTTCCAAGATAAAGGCCTGGCAACGTATCCTTGGGCCGCTTGGCACTGCCTTTGCAAAGGGCAGCTTTGTGACTTCAGCTGTGGCTCAGCACCCTACATCACACCTGGAACAGTCAGGAGTACGGAAAGTTTGGCAAAGAACCAGCAAACACCTAAAACGAGCTGGATTAAGAGACCTGTCCAGCATCCCATGGGGATTTCTTCACAGGAGCAAGGTTAAGACCTGGCTCTGGCTGAAGCTCTTAAGAAACCATAAGACTTTTATTTCAATCCCTTTGCATAATTTTGCAACAAATGAGGCAAAGTCTTGCAGCAAACAGGTTCTCCAGGTGCCCAACACCACTCACGCAGCAGAGCTGCTGGGGCTCAAGTGTCCTATCACGTAACCAGAGATTGTGTCGGGACATCAGGATATGTCGGACAGATCAGGTTGCACAAGGAGCCTAAATGTTTACATTCCCAAAGGTCTTAGTGCTTAATTTGTTTAATTTTACCACCTTAACGATGCCTTTTAAGACAGTGCTGCTGTATTCACTACTGGACATTTAGCAAATGAGACCCTGGATGTAATTCCAGCCTTGTTTGCACTGGGACCTCAGTGCCTTTTGACTCAAATTTAATTTCTTATTTTCAACTGTTATGTTTTACAGCTGTTGGGGCAGCACCACAGAGCACTAGCAACAGGAGCAGGATGGCGTTCAAGCTCCATGTAGGCAGAGCACTCATCTTTTATAAAGCCTTTGATCCAAGAGATTCTTTCCCAACAAGATGTTAAAGTTTCCACAGCAGGTGCTGGGCAGAGTCTGCCCTTGGGATGCTCCTAAAACTGCAGTTAACTCTGTCAGAGTCCCATGGTCTCACCATAAAAGCTGATCCTATCTTTTAGTTTACAACAGAGTTTCCCTTCCAGAGTACCTTGTCAGTGAAGATCTTCAGGCTGGCCTCAGAATGGCAAAACAGACACAGGCATGAATTGTATAATTTAGCTGTAAATTTGATTCAAAAGTTTAGGAAATACAGCTTTCAACTCTCCAAAATGATCCTACCTTCTTACTTCCCCTTGCTGTGCTGTGGTGGGAGTAAGGAATGCCTGTGGTCTACAGAAGTCACAAGCTGCAGGACTAGACAGCTCTAAGCAAGTTTCAAAAGCCAAGAGTAAGTGCAAGTCTTAACTTTTAAAGGTTTTTAGAGTTTCCAAGACTGTGATGTGCTGGAGAGGAACCAAAACAGGTTTGGATACAAAGACCAGCAACCTAAATCTGTGTCAGCCTAGCTTTGTCATAAAATCCAGCACCAGTGAATCATTTTTGCTGGATGCATGCAAAGCGTCTGCAGGATCTGAAACACGAGAAAGACAAACGCCCAAGCGACTTCAAAGCAGTACAGCCGGACAGATCTGCACGGCAGCCAGTCCACTGGCACTGCGCAGCCCACTCCCAGTCTGCTAAAAAAGAAGCTGAGTGGGTGCCTGCCGTCTGCCACATTTGCAGCAAGATGCAGCACTTTCAGCAGCTGTGAAATATGCTCCACCACGCAAGCAAATGGTGTGGTTTTGGGCAGAGCTGGTCACAGGCCTGCTTTATGCCATACATGCTTTCAGGGCAGTCACTGTGACACAGCAGCAGCATTTCTGGCTGTCTCTGTGGTTAAGTTTGGCATCTGCTTTGCTATTTTCAGGAAATAATGTGGCAGCTCTTAAAGGCATCTTCTGTCTCCTCAGAGAGAAGCCTGTGACTCTGCAAAGGTGCTTCACGGGCGAGAGCAAAGGGGACCCCAGAGCAACAGGAGCTCCGTGTGCCAAAACCTCACAGGGCCACCCAAGGTGGCAGAGCTTTTTAGACTCTCCTTTTCAGGTCAGCACCGGCACTGCAGACCATAGTTAATGGGGGGAAAGCCTGCATTTGGGGATGCTGACTCACTGTACCCCTGGGGAAGCAAGCTTGTTGGAGGTACCAGGTATTAATGCTGCTGCTCCAAAAGCAAACATCATTCCAACCAGCAGCACAGACAACCCCTGTGAGTCAAGCACCTCGGTAGTCTCAAGCTCCATGCTGTTTTCACTGGAAAGACTGGGGCAGCCACTGGCTGCCAGTCAAGCCCAGGCCACCTTGAATTGGAACGCAGCAGAGGGGATCCACATGTTCAGCTGGGGCTGTGCACAAGGCTTAACATATAAGGTGGAAGCCATCTGAGAGGACAATTGCAGAAGCTCACGGTGTTGCTGCTAGAGGCTCAGGCAGGGAAGAAGAGGACAGCTGCTCAGTGCCGTGTCTCTGATCTCCAGAGGTGCACGTCAGTGATCAGCAGCAGGCAGGGCAGGTGCCCTCACCCCGGGCCGGCTCTGTGGTGAAGCAGAGCCCAACAGCCACACCACAGACCCACAGAAGACACCAGGCCCTCAGCAGAGGAACGAGGATAAGACGGCAAGCAGCACCGTAAAAGACTGATGAGAGAAACGAGAATCAGAAGGAACAACAGCAGACCTACGAGGAACAGAATGAACCAGTAAGGACGCCCAGAGGGAGACAGAAAATAACCCCCAACCCGCTCCAGCCGCCATGATCAGACAAGCCGGGGCGGCAGCGCTTCTGTAGGGAGAGAGCTCCCATCATGCTCTGCGGGAAGCGCGCCTGGCCCCGCCTCCCACTCTCGGCGCATGCGCAGCTCTCCCCCGCCGCCAAGGCAAGCGACTGCACATGCGCACTGCGGGTAGCGTGCCCACAGCGTGGGAACTGACCGGCTGCGGCTTCGCGGAGCTGAGCGCGCCTGCGCATTCGGGGGGGCCCTCTCCTCCGCGCGCCTGTTCTGCGCATGCGTCCTCCGCCCGCGGCTCTTGCCGCTGCTCCGCCCCTTCTCTCCGTGCGCAGGCGCAGTGGCCGGTGTCTCCCTCCTCGGGGCTGCATCTCCGCGGCGGCGGTGCTCGGTCCGGCCCGACGGAACGGCGGCGGCGGGGGGAGGCGGTGGAGGAAGAGGGAACGAAGGGTGGATGCGAGCAGCACGGTTCGGGCTGCGCTCCGCCGGAGGTAGGAGCTCGGCGCCGGCCGCCCCCCCTCCCACCCCTGTGTGGCGCAGCGGGGGCTGAGGGGGGACGCACAAAATGGCGGCGGGGGGGGGGGGGCCGGGGCTCCGTGGGGACGCTGCCCTCTGTTAGCCCCCATCGATGACCTCTTTGGCCCGGCACCGCTCGCCCACCGGACCCCCGGGCAGCGGTGGGGCCTGGGAGCAGCAGCCGTGCGGGCTGCCCGCCGAGGTGTGTGTGTGGGGGGGAAGCGCTGTGTAACGGCCTCGCCGGCGTTATGCCTTGGTTGCTGCGGAGCGCCTCCGCGCAGCCGGTTGTTAACGGGGTGATGCGGCTGGGTATAGGCGCTGCACTGCGTTTGGGCTAACGGCTGCCGCCCTTTTATTTATTTAGCTGGCTACTGAGGGGATTCAGTAGGTCGGCACTGTCGGGTTGGGAACACCCTGCCAGGCGTTGCAGGCCAACAGAGGCATGCCCTGCCTCAGCGACCTTGCGTCTGGTTGTATTTTCTTGCAGTGCAAAAGGCAGATGAATAGACATGGACTTGTAAACAGCGGCATAACGTTTATCTGCATTGCAGCCGAAGTCTTGGCACGCCAGCAGTGTGCGTATTGATTTAACACGTTTGATAGTACAACATGTACAATCTCGGCTTTTATGTGTTTGTTGAGTTAGGGAAGTGCACCATTTGCTTTCTGATTCTTACCTGTGTTCTGTCTCTGTCCAGCTGTGTTTCAGTGAAAGCTCAGACCTTTAATTCAATCCATGAACTTAGCACATTACATTGAAACAAAGCTATCTGGCAGTTTGGGAATAGTGGTTTTGGCTTTAAAACTGGCCGTTGAATGAAGTAATAATATTCACTCTGGTTAGCTGGAGAGATTAGTTTTCATCACTGTACTTCGAGAGCTCAGAATGTAGACATGTCTTCTGGCACCTTGTACTTGTGTGTTGGGGTTAAATAGATAGCTTTCCTATTTCTTGACTTTGAAGATGGTAGTAATTGATCTGAATTGGTTAAAATAACTGAAACAACAAAAATTCTTTTCACCCAAGGCAAAGCGTTTTAGGAGCGTAGCATAATCTGGTGCTTACCCAGGAACCTCGTGTATTTGGAGTTTTGACCTTTTTTTTGCAACTTAGACACACACCGCTTTAGTATTTTTCCTTAGTTACAAGTATTTTAATACAGTAATGTAATATAGGTTGTTAATTTTTTAAAATTTCTTTTTCTATAGGCTCTTTTGAAAACAAACCAAAACAAACCCCAAGAAAACAAAACAACCCAACAATTATCTATCCTGGTTTATAGCCCAGAATTGATGTTGAAATGTGTGTTCAGTTTTGGGTTATGCTCTTTCCTCTGGTATGTGATCATTGACTAGATGTTTAAAATACTAAATTATAACTATGTTGTGAGGTCTTCAAGAGGGTGGATATAAAAGTGAGGTAATTATTTTCCCTATTAAGAAGGTACTCTTCAAGGACAAGAAGTATTTTTAATTGCATTTTTTTCTGATTTAAAAAAAAAAAATCATCTGCCAGAACTGACAGAACAGTCATGATGGCTCAAAGGGTGGAGGACGTAAGGGACTAGACCGATCTCTTCTTCTCCAACTTCTATGACAACTGATATAACTGAGTGATGTTTATACAAGGGTGGGGTTCCAAGTGGTTGCAAAACTTGCTGCTCCCTGCTATACTGCTGGATTCCTTTTCTGTCCTCCTTCTGTTTCCCAAGTATCTTGCAGTTTGGTTTTGGGGCTGAGCTCAGTGGAAGCTCAGCTGTGCTCGTGTTAGTCCTTACCAAACAAGGAGCTCTTCTGTGTATGAAACAGGAAGAACATTGAGACTTTTTTTTTCAGTGTTTCACATTTGAAGGTAAATAAAATGTTTTCTTATTTCTTTGCTATCAAGTTAAATATTCTGAATGGAGTTTGGGTTCTTTTAGTAAGTTTTAAGCAGAAGTATTAGTATTTGCTCTTTGTCTGCAATGCTTTTGGGCACATCTCCACATCAGGTGTGCAGAGCTCCGTATGCCCCAGTGCTGTTGCATGTATGGAAATGTACTTACGAAACAGTGTGCAGGATTTGTACTGCTCTAAAATTTGACATAGAAAGTGAAAATTGAAAAAGGCCAGTAGATTGCTGCTGCTAATGTTCCGTGAAGGTGGTAAAATGCCCTTTTTTGTCTTGTTTTAAGAATTACTTGCTGAAAGACTTGTGCTGATTTGTTTCTGGTTTTTTCTTTGTGTCTGTGTATAAACTTGATGCATTGAACCCCATGACTGCTAGAATGGAATGGAGTCTTTTTGGAATATTTCAGTGAATTATGTTACTGAGGGGTACTGGCTCTGGCTGGGATGGAGTTGGCTGTCTTCACAGAGCCTGTGAGCTGTGTTTTGGATTTGTGGCTAAACCAGTGTTGGTCACCACCAGTGTTTTGACTGTTACTGAACAGTGCTTGCACCATGTCAAGGCTTTCCCTGCTGCACCCCTAAGGGTAGACTGTGGTGGGCAAGAGGCTGAAAGGGGAGGTCACAAAGCTGTGACCTGGACTGGCTAAAGGGATATTCTGTACCATGTAATGTTCTGCTTGGCAGTAAAAAATGGGGTAGAGGAAGAAGAAAAAGGTGTTTTTGGCTTCGTCATGGTTTAACCCCATCCGGTAACTAAGCACGATGGAGCTGCTCGCTCACTCCCCCCCCCCCCCCCCCCATTCTGCCGGGG